TTCCATTGCATTTAGTTTGAAAAGCTCCTGCCCACTATGTGCAGCTCTCTTTGAAAAGCCACAGATTCAGTGGTTGAACTTTATAAAACCGCTTTGATCTGTGTTACCATGTAACAGATCAGTGTGAGAGAGGGACCTGTGTGAACCACCCACTTACCAGCACGCTCTCCTGTGCTCCCTGACTTCCCCACACTGCAGTCCAGGAGACCTACTGATGTTACAGCTGCACCAAACAAAAAATAAAATCCACAGAGACTTCAGAGATGGACACTGCAGAAAGGTTTCCAGATAAAACGAGTAACACTCACAGTAAACAATCTGCTCAGTGAAGGGACTAATTAAAGCGTCAGCCTCGCATGGTCTCATCACGATTGCTGGTTATATTTTCAAGCTGCTGTGAAATTATTACCTTGCAGTAGTTTCTTTTGATGTTAAAAGTGCTTTCTTGCTATCATAATATATCCAATGTTTCTATTAACAGTGTGTTATTAGCCTTCCTTTTAAATTACTTGAATTCTCTAGAGACTAATTGCATTATTAGAGCTGACAGAGAACATCAAAAGACAGTCTCACATAAATTAAAAACATTAGGAGAAACAGCTTGTCAATATCCTAATTAGTGGCATTGTTGAGTACACACAAAACCGAGTTTTAGGTGTTTTCCACTAGAAGAATCTTAAGTTGATAATAAAAAACATTTGATAAAAGGAGAAATTATTAGCAGGTTTAAAATTCAAATCTGTTCTGTTAAATTCATAAAATGTTTCCAGTAAATGTTTTACATGCACAGCACAGGATACATTTTAAATTCTGTCAAGAATTCTTTGGAATATACCCAAAGGAAACCACACTGAAAGTTCATGTTCTTAAAAAGCAATCCTCCCCGTCCCACCCTGACCCGACCCCAAATTACTTTTAGTTTTAAGAAATGCACAGAAGCCAGGAGACAGATCTTCCAGGCTTCATAGTTTTTCAGAAGGAATGCCCAGAAGCCCTCCCTGTGAAGACCCTTCTACGTACACAGGGGCAGGGACACTCTCCTCCAGGTTCCCAGCCCACACCCGCGTCACTGCCTCCCAGCACACCTGTACATAAATAAACGAGGCAGACGACTGGTCCAGGCCTGCGCTTCCCAATTCCCCAGCACAGACTCTGTAAGTGCAAAGGGCGAACACTGGCCCTCACATGCGCGTGCATGTGTTCACTTTATGTGTAAAGCACATGCGCATCTCCACCTACAGCCCAGAAGCATGTGTCATGTACACATCGCTCACACGGATATGCACACAGCACACACGCAGTATGTGCATCTGTGATTTTAGTATCTTCTGGGTGACAATGTCTAAGGGGAAACAGCTCCTCAGAGTATGATGAAAAAAGCAGTTCGAGCAACACAGCCCCAGGTCAGAGCCTCCAGCGAGGGCACTGCGAATGCGTCACGGCTGTGCTGCCCGACCGCTGGTCCCCTGCTCTAGGCTGGTGGCTGACAGCTGGCGTGTGGTCTGGCACATATCATTTCCTATGCGTGCTGTGACATTAGAAAGGTTGGGAACCGCTGCCTGGGAAATGAGGCTCCTTTCCTGGGACAACGGCGGGCGGCTGAAGCTGTGAGCGCCTTCATCTCTGTCCCCACTGCTGACCCTGCAGCCTGGTTTCCAGCTGGCTCTTCCTGAGGCCAGGCAGATCCTCTTTCTGGGGCTCCTGTGGAGCTACTTGCTTCCTACCCTGGCCCCCCTAAACTACCCCTGCACTCCGACCTTCTGCCTCCTTGCCCATGTGCACCCATATAGAGCTCATGTCCTAGGAACAGCTCCATGTTTGAACTTCCAGGACCGTTGGAGTTCTATCTTAATTCTTTTTTTCATTGTCAACTGCTTAATGTGACACTGGAAAAAAATGCTACTTCCAAGATTTTAATAGTTTCATACTAAATACAAGAGATACAAAAATAATGTCAGAAAGTATATAGGCTACAAAAATTATATGCCGAAAAAAACCCCACCCATGTATTCACCATCTTATTTAAAAAGGGGATACAGCTGCCCAGGAGGTTCATGAGTTTGAGACCTGGGTGTGCAGTGAGACCTTGTCTCAAAATAAAAAGCCCTGGGGCCGCAGCTCAGTGTGAATCCCTGGCTGCCATCCCTCGACCAAAGGAAAAGCAGCACTGGCTTCACACCCGGGCCCTGGCTGCCTTCCCACTCCCCTTCCTTCCCAGTCACAGGAACTGTCCTCACCTCGCTAATGCTCCTGCCATGTCCCATGTACAGCCCTGAACCATGCGTCACGCAGCTTTCCTTGCTTTTGAAGTTCATGAGAGACCACATATTGAGCACCGGGAGCCAGCCTTCTCGCATGTAAAATGTGACTCACTCACTTTTACTGTTGGTGAAGTGGAATCATGCTTTCACTGACTTAACCAGCTACTCAACTACATGGAACCCCGAGTGACTTCCTCGGCGCTGAATGAATGCTCCCACTTGAGTCATCCTCTTGCCACACTGACAGCTCTCTCCTCCCATGTCTTTCTTCTTCCTACAAAACATCCAAACATCCCCTCCTATCCAGAGAACACAGGAAGCAGACCCAACGGGAGGAAATGTGAGAAGCCAATATTAAGCCAATTTCTCTAGCTACACACAGGAGAAATTAAAGGAAGCAGTTATCACTGTCATTTTTACTAAAACAGAAGGAGCCTTTTTCTATTTTTGCTTCTTTAAATGCACCTTACCAGTTACTAATATACGTTAATTTTTGTTTATGTTCTAAGTTGTACTATTTAACAAGATAACTTCCTCCAATTCAGCGACATACAGTTTGCGGCAAAACTAAATATATGCCCTAACTCATACATTTATTCATGCAACAATTACCAAATCTTAATGTGGTAGCGTTATTCAGAGAGTCACACAAAAATGAAATCATCACTCAAAATGTACACTGTAATGAACTGCTCAAACGTACAAGGGAAGCACAGGAGAGAGAGCCGCTGACGGCCTCACAGCTGCTGTGCAGCGGGAGCAGCGTTTCAGTGGGGTCTGGACGTGATCAGCACTTTACTCGAAAAGGAGGAGGAGAGCAGTGGGTTCAGAGCGCGGGATGGAAACACAGGATGAGCTTGACGGAGCGGAGTGCGCAGGCCTGGGTGACACAGGGGGCCTGTGGACAGTGCGGGGGCTGGGGAGGCAGAAGCCGGACGGATTGGGCCCAGAATGTAATGAGGAATAATCTGTGCGTTATCCTCCAGGAGACAAAAGGCTGTGACCCTTTTTAAAATTTTCTGTGATAGGGTGATTGAACGCAGAGCCTCATCCACACTAGTCAAATGCTCTACAACTGAGCATCATCCCCGGCCCTTTTTCATTTCAAAACCAAGTCTTGCTAAATCACCTAGGCTAGCCTCAAACTTGACATTCTTCTGCCTCAGGCTCTCAGGTGGCCAGGACTCCAGGCATGTGCCCCCTGCCTGGTGTTAACTATCTTAGGAACTTTCAGGTCCTCTGTATGAAAATATCCCATTTCAGGTTTGGATCTGGACATGATCATGTATGTGTCAAGCCTCAAACTTTTAAAGGGTTAAAGCCACATGACAAAGAGAAATGAAAGAAACAGTTTTCAGACTTTTGAGATTATCAGAATCACCTGCGGTGCCTTACCTCAGGGCTCTGATTCAGGCCCGAGAACCTGCGCCTGCAACCAGATCCCAGGTCTGGCCTAGACAGTGCCACCCCAACAACAGGTGAAAACTGGAACTCAATGACCAGGAAGACAGTCCCAAACAACACCGACACCTAAGGCCAGCGAAGTGGAAACCAGCGAAGGTAAAGGAGCTCACGGAGGGGAAGGGGGCTGGAAAGTGGGAGGGGCGGCCCGACTCCGCGGAGCGGCAGGACTGAGCGAAGCGTGAAATAAGGAGCTGGACAAAGTACTCAGGAGGTCACTGCACAGCCAGAGCAGCCGTTACGCAGAGTGCGAGGAAGGCGTGTGGCCAGGTGAGAAGGCACCGCCACGCTGGGAGAGTGTTAGACAGAAGCGGGAACAGCCGCCAGAGAAGTGGCGCACTTGCGGAAGCTGAGGAGGATGAAAGACGCGGGCACACCAGCCCCAGGACGGGAGGGATGCAGCGAGTCCGCAGGATGGAGTCGGGCTGCAGCGGGCTCAGCAGTCTCGGCAGCAGCGCACGCCGCTGAGCACAGTGCGGAGGGGAAGGCAGCGAGGCCGGGGAGAGACCTCGCCCAGGACTGTTAGCTTCTCTGCAGCTTTGCCCTCAAGGCACCCTGAAGGAACTGCTCAGGAAGAAGAAAACACAGAATCCTAGACGGAGACCTGGGCCACACGGAGGAAAGAAGAGGCTGCAAATGCCAGTTTACACGGGAAGATGCAGAAGATACCAGTTTGTATGTTACCTTTTAAACATTACCGTTCAAAGCACAAACAGTAACAGTGCAAATATACAGGATTTATAACAAAGTACGATATCTGACAAAAAGAACATGGAAGAAACAGTGGTAATTCACCTCACTAAACCTCTTAATTCTACAGGTAAAATAGTGTATTACTAATTGAAAGTAAACTTTAATAAAAATATATGATATAAGCCCTTCCAAGTGTGGTCTGGGAGTCTGAGTAAAGCTTGAATCCAGAAATTCCAACAGCTAATGAGAAGAATTTCTAGGAGAGAGTCTCAACTGACCACATATCATGAACAAATTATCTTATTGTGAGGATTAAATGATATACAACTTGCAAAAAGGAACTGTATGTTATGTGCCGTGTACACCTACTTAATGACAGCGAATGCTGAAGATGATGACAAACAGGCCCTTTACACAGAACTCCCCTGGCATACTGCAAACCAAATACAGGTCTTCAAAGTTCCATCCTAGCTGCACGTGGTGGTGCATGCTTGTGATGACGGGGTGGGAAGACAGACTCCTTCAGCGGAGCGCTAGGACTACTGGAGCCTAAGAGTAAACAGAGACTTGATACGTAGTTCTTACCATTAATAACCGGTGTGTAAACAACAATCCCGACCAGGTTTGGGTCAGATACAGTTGTGTCCAGAATAAGGCCTCCAATGCTGAAAAAAATAAAGTTACATAATTCATGGAAGGGAAAGTACTCAGAGTTGCTCTGTACATACATATACCCTTCACTGTAAAATAGAGTTTACACATTTTAAAAACAGTCAAAGGAAAAATATTTAAAGTAAAAATCAACACGAAGAGTAAAAAGTTGGAAACAAAACACGACTTAGGTTACAGCCACAAAAGTCGTGCTGCTGTTACAGTACTTGGGAAAAGAAAAAGTGTGTGCTCTAAATGCTCTAGGGTGCCGGAGGCCTGTGAGACACTGTCAGCCCTGTTCACTTCCAGGGAATAAGACTGGGAACTGATGGTCACTTTAGAGCTTAATTTTAAGTCATTTATCCTATTACTCTTCCAACTTAAAAATTATAAAAAGAATTAAGCTTTTCTATATGAAGCAGCTAAGGCACTAGACGACGTTGGCTCTGCGGGCTGGCGGCTGCTGTTTGCTCTTGGAGACAGCGTCCTGCTCTGCTGTCCAGGGGGGTCCTGAACGCATTATGCGTACTACGGGGTTACGGGCCTGTCCCACAACACCTGGCCAAGGGATGATTTTTTTCATTGTGTTAAAACTAGATATAGTCAGGATGTATTTTATCAGTGGTAATTAAATAGTAATTGCCCCTGGTGTGGTGACACACACCTGTAATCTTGTGGTAGGGAGGTCACGGGAACCTGAGCTATGTGGGGAGTCACAGGTCATCTGACCTCAGAGCTCATCTAGAAAAGTCTAGAAAACTATTTTCAGTATAATACAGTGGTAAGTCCTATACTCTCACTGTGCCTCTGGGACCTGAAGGCTCTTCTGACATTTCCAAAATGATTAATAATTGGTTGACTTCAGTCTGTTGGACTGAGTTATAAGACGTGGCCAGTTCCAATATTCCATGGGATCCCACGGCCTAAATCTTCCAGGAAAATGGTATCTACATGACAACAAAGTGAATTACATGCTTTCACCCAATGGGACTGCCAAAGTATCAGATTGAATGTTCTTACCACCACCTGGTAGTTAACATTAGGAAATCATTATGTTTTTATTACTTAGTAAAATAAAAAAAGTTTTAACGTCCTTACTAAGAAGGTATAGTCTAGCTGGGTACGGTAGTGCACACATGCAATTCCAGCCCTCGGGAGGCTGAGGCAGGAGGACTGCTGTGAGTCTGAGACTGGCCTGGGTTCTGTAGTGAGTTCAAGACCAGCCTGAACTGCCTACATGATCCTGTCTCAAAAACATACAAACAAAATACTATAGACTACCTGAGAAATATTTATGATTCTTTTCTTCTACAGTGCTAGGCACTGAACCCAGGTCCTCATGTATGAGAAAAGCACCCTAGTACTAAGCTATACCCTAAGGCTGAACTATTTAGTAATTTATTTAGTAATTTTGAAAAACAATATATTTATTTGAAGATCAAACTACTTCTTAGTCAAAGAATAAAATCTCCCAGCCAAAATGCATAGATTATGTTATGGATGCACACTTATTAAAAATACATTTTAACATATTTTTGTTACCCAGGTAGTAAAACCTGTTATAGAAAAAAATATAAAATCAAATAAAAAGGAAAAAATAAAAACTAATTCTAGTTACATCAGTCAGGGCTCATACAGTTATTATACTAAGATCAGAGCTACACACACACACACACACACACACACACATATATACAATGGATGTACACAGTATCTGTATCCAGTGGTTCACCAACTACTTTGTTTGCAATTTGGTCCTCATAGAAGCATTTGACAAATCTTGTTTTGTCTGCAAACTCTGCATCAGGTGACAAACCTGACCATGGCCATGCTTCTCAGAAATGCAGACACAATCATCTTCTCCGAAATCCCAGAACAAATGAAGTCTATGAACGCAGGTACCTGTGATGTAATGCGTATGTTAACTGGCTTAACTCTGCTGTTCCATGATACACACGTGTTTCAAAGTATCAGGTGTGCGGGATAAATATAAGCAGTTTTTGTCACTACAATAACAAAGTAGATAAGAAAGCGTGTAATAAAATGTCTGCGGGGCGCATGTATGGCACGGCACACAGCCGTGCCTGCCCCCACACGCTGCAACCTCTCAGCCTTCCTCCTCTCTGACAGCGAAGCCCTCGGGGCTGACTTTGTAACAACGGCGGCGTCCTCACGCATGCACTGCCCAGGTGTACTCGATATCGTCACGTGGATTTTCTTCTTTCTCGGATTTCTCTTCACTGTCAAGGTCCCTATTACCAATCCGACCTCCTGCCACATCGAGTGTATCCCGTAGCCAATGCATTCCATGCTTTCCCTTCTCAGAGTCACTTTTCCTTGGGCACGGTGCTCCTGGCAGGCGAGCTGCCTGGTCCCCAGCCTGAGCACAGCTGTCGCCCTGTCCCTCCCACCATCTCTACAGCTGGACCCTGGTCTGTGGCTCTCACTGGAATCCATCAGGTAAAAGCAATCTGTTTTGCGGAAAGAGCCACCTGCCGTCACAGAATGGGACTATTTACTCCCATGCCACTGTCTGATTTATTTCCACCACTGACAGAGATTTTTTATCAGCTTTAAATGAAAGGGCACGGGAAAGTGCATTTGATGCGATCTTGCCTGCCCAAAAATGTACTTCGTCTTGTCTGATGTGTAACTGTATTTTATGTCCAAAACACTTTTCCTTCCAACTCGGAGGCATCACGCCTGGTGCTGGGATCAAACGCCCTTCACATGTGCCTTCCCGTCTTCCTCTGAGGCTTCGGGGGCTTCTGACGCACTCTTCACCAGCTGCTTCCGCTGGAAGCCACGTCTTCAGTTCCGGGGAATTTCTCCCAGTGATGCCTGGATAATTTTCCGTTTGTCATACGCCTCCTCCTTTCCGCCTCTGTTTTCCACTCTATGTTCCGGGAGAGTTCTCCACCTTTACCTTTCCAACTTTTCTGCTTCTGCTATTTATTTAAATTTCCCAAAGCTCTTCTGCTTTTCGAACCCTCCCCATTCTACGCCTCATCCTTACTCTGTGGGCTCTGCAGGTTCCCTTAGCTCTCTGAGGACGTACGTGGACAGTACGGGAGTTTGCAGAGGTTGTTACCACGCCTGCTGCCTTTTCTGTCCATCTTTCCTCCTGGACACCAAACCCAACTGTCTGATACTCCTGCACTGCCTGCCCTCTCTTCCAGAGCTCTGGCTGTGTACTTGGTGTGCACTGATCTGGTGGAGTGGGTGACCAAGTGTCGCCACACCGAAGAACACTGGGGGGGCCTGCTGTGCCTGGGCTGAAAGACCGAGCAGCGTCAGCCTCGGCAGGTCTCAACTCTGCGCTGCTTAGTTTCGCTAGGGGAGCTGCCCAGTTTCTCTAGGGGCATAAACCTGCCTGCCAGCGCACTATGCACACAGAGGAGTGGGGCAAGTTCTGCCATCCAGGGTGTAGACCTCCAGCTCCTCTTTATATCCTTCAGGGTACTTAACCCGCATCCTGGCCTCCGCAGGTGTCTGTGTTAGCCCATCCACAAAGGCGGAGGGGTGCTCGTGGGGTGCAGGCTGGAGAACGGGGCCGAGTCTGACAGCTCCGTACGTACGCTCCGGCCGGTTTCCTTCACCTCGACTTCCAGGGAGCCCAGGGCCTCTTGCTGGGCCCCTCTCTAGGTTTCTGAGGCTCCAGTCTGCTGGCCCCGACAGCTGGGCAATTTTCCCTTTTCCCTCTCTGCTTGTGTGCTGAGCAACCATCCGTCTGATGCCTTGCTTTTATATGTTAGTTTCTCTCACATGCTGTCTTTTCTGCTTGTCCATCTTTCTGGTTTTATAGCATTTTCATTCTTTTGTAATCATTTAAATAGTTTCAGGGAAGAAGATACACATGTCTTAACTTACTGTATTTAACAGTAAATATATACTCATTTCTAGGTTACTATCTTCACCAGATGTACAATGAACATCTTTTCATGGCAAGAGAAATGCAATTTATTACAATTTATTTAATCAACACCTGACAGCTCTTTAATTGTTCCATTTTAAAATTAAAAGCTCCATATAATGAAGATTGTTGCAACTAAATCTTTTGCATACACCCTTAATTACATAGCGAAGCTTCTCAGTGTCCAGGATATGGAACTTAGTAAATGGCACGTACAGCACGAAGGCTCCCTGATACTTACTTGAGCAGCCTGTTATTCACAGTAAGCAACTTCCTTGTCAGGCTAACACCACCATATCCGAGTTTTACTTATCAGTCTGGGAAGGCTTTGGGCGGGAGGGAAATGGGAACTGGTGGCCCATCCAGATCTCAGGACACTCACTAACATCAGTCACTCCTGTAACTCTGATCCCTTATTACCTGAGCGAACTATGAACTGGCCACATAAAAGGGTTAATCCAAAACAACCACACCTGAACCAGGCAAGCTGCTCCACATGCACACTACAGACACAGATGCAACACGCACACCTGCACACGATGCACTTGGACACTCACCTGCTTATGACCATAGCTGTTATGACCGGCTCCCAGCCTGAGTGCAGGACAGTCCTTGTGGCTGGGTGCTTTGCTGCTATTATAATCCAGATCGGAGTCAGAGCCAAGAAAAAGACACCGACCAATGGAGAGATATAGTAATAGGTCTCTAAAATTTAAAACAAGGGATAACACTTCAGTCTCTTTTCCTCCAAGTAGCAAATCTAAATTATCAACAGTAAAATGTTACCGGGTGATATGCTATTATCAAACATATTAACATGCCTTAAATTTTTGATAAATTTCAAACAAACTAGTACTATAAGGACAGTTTTAAAATTAAATAATATGGTTAAAACACATTAATTAAACAGACATTTACTATGAAATAGCTACGTGGCACACAGCAGAACAGTAACAAGAGAGCTCTAAGAGCAGCAGTGAAAGCTGTCACCCAGCAGACTGCCCAGGTTCCACACTGCTCCTCTCTGCTAGAGGGTGTTGGGAGCCGCGGCCGACACCGGTCGCTTTACTTGGCGGACGTGAGGCCTGTAGAAAGGAGCAAAGCCTGAGCTAAATTACCCCTCCCATCGAGTGAGCCAAGTTGGCGCCTGCTTCCTGCCCCCTGATTGCCCTGGCGACTTAAACAACCCGCTCTGTAAGATAGTCTGCCTAGCAACAACTGATGTTAGCCAGTCAGCCCGCATCGCGCGCTTTGAACTGATTGGCCACTGTTACCCTATAAAAGTGAATGCCTCTCCCGCCACGAGAGAGGAAGCACGAGAGAGATAGAGAAAGTCCACCGGCGAGAAAGGACTGGTGGCAGAGAGGAGGCCTCGCGGGGCCCACGCGGAGACAAATAAAGACAAGGTTGCACACCGCCAGACTTTGTCGTGTGTCTTTCCTGCCGGCCGGGAGCGACCCCGACATTTTGTGGCCCGTACGGGGACTGATCAACCCCGAGACACGGCGGTGGTGTGCAACGCTCCAGCGTGGTGCTGCCGGACAGGTGAGTTGGGGATAAGCCTGGGCTCTGGGTGGCGCGCACCTACAGGGCTTTTAGACTCCCCTCAGGCTCACGCGTAGGTGACGGGTTCTTTAAGTCACACGCGGTGAGTAACAGCCCTTAGAGGTTGAGAATGGGTAATTTACCGAGCGCGGAGGCGCGGCCCTTGGTAAAGGCCCTTAGAAAGCTTTTAAAAGCTAGAGACCTCAGGGTAGGTCAAAAAACACTGGAACTATTCATAGCAGAGGTAGATAGGGTGGCTCCCTGGTTTTTACCCACAGGGCATTTAAACCTGCCGTCATGGGAGAAGTTAGGCGGGGACCTCGCCTCGGCGGAATTGGGAGGCGATATTTCGCCGGCTATTCGCCCCCTGTGGGAAATGATACATGCGTGCCTTGACTCCTATGCCGAGTTGCGCCGCGAATTGTGTGCGTGCGCCGCTCGAAAAAAGCAGAGAGAGGAAAAAGGACCCCCGAGAGCCCTCTGGCGGGGAGGAGATAGAGAGCCATCCGCTCCGCCCTGGAGCTCTTCTCCAGAAGCGGCTCCCCGCCGAGAGGCCGCTACAGGGAACCCTCCCTTCTCTCAGCCGGCACAGGAAGTGACGCCCCGTTCCACTCTGTCGCGACCGCCGTCCTATGACGTTGCGCCGCGGGGCGGACAGTATTTTCATGGGCGGCTACTCTGCCGAGCAGGCTGAGAAAAACGCCGGTTGAGGAAACGGGGGCTGGGGATTTAGCTCAGCGGCATAAGCGCCTGCCTTGTAAGCAGGCAATCGCGAGTTCGATCCCTGGTACCGATAAAAAAAAAAAAAAAACGAAAAAGACCAAAAATAAAAAAAAAATAAATAAATAAAAAATAAAAAGGGGGAGTAAGCCAAGGCCTGCCTCCAAAGGCGCGGTTATCTATGGCATGACAATGGATGGGCCCGGATCTGGTGGTTAGCTGGAACCAAGGCGCAGTTTGTGTTTTTCCGCAGGAACCGGGACGAGAACCACTGTGGGTCCCAGAGAGGTTGACGCGACAAGTCCCTCGACTGAAGATCAGGCCTGTTCCACCAGAGGCCAACCGCAGACCCAACAACAAGATGAGCCCTAAAAGAACTGCAGGACAATCCCTTTTTGGGGAGCCTGGAATGGCTTGCTCCCCTATGTTTTACCATTGTTAGGTCCCCTGTGCTCCTTGCTTCTGCTCTTACTTGTAGGACCATTCTTGCTCCGATGGGTTACATCATTTATTAATGGGCGCCTTGCGGCGGCCCGGCGTCAAGTACGCCTGGTTGCCCATGCGGCCCTGGCAGCAGCCCGTGATGGGCACAATGACCCCCAGGCTTACGCATGGCTCGCTCGACTGGCCTACGACCAGGTCTAGATGTGGCGGGTCTTCCGCATTCCTTCCCTATTGACACCACACAGCAGGGTGGGTGAGTCAGTGACGGGTAAGAGCGTGCCTCCCCAGCACGACTCGACCTAAGCCAGGCCCTACCCCATACTGCACGAAAGCCGCTGGATTACTAGAATCTGCCCAGATCTAGATGCCTCTCCGAGGGGATCACACGGAGGGGCATGAGTGCATGCCTATGTGCATCCAGGTTCCGTCCAGTTCACTCCTGGCCCTGGAAAAAGGACGAGGGTCTCAAGGCCTTGGCGGACCCACGGGCGGCCGACCAGGGTCCAAGCCAAGGGCCTACGGTGGGCCTCAACACAGGGCATAAGCCTCTGCACTCGATCCAGGGCGGGCTGCGATGCATACATTCATTCAAAGTAAATAAAATAGGGGGAGATGTTGGGAGCCGCGGCCGACACCGGTCGCTTTACTTGGCGGACGTGAGGCCTGTAGAAAGGAGCAAAGCCTGAGCTAAATTACCCCTCCCATCGAGTGAGCCAAGTTGGCGCCTGCTTCCTGCCCCCTGATTGCCCTGACGACTTAAACAACCCGCTCTGTAAGATAGTCTGCCTAGCAACAACTGATGTTAGCCAATCAGCCCGCATCGCGCGCTTTGAACTGATTGGCCACTGTTACCCTATAAAAGTAAATGCCACTCCCGCCACGAGAGAGGAAGCACGAGAGAGATAGAGAAAGTCCACCGGCGAGAAAGGACTGGTGGCAGAGAGGAGGCCTCGCGGGGCCCACGCGGAGACAAATAAAGACAAGGTTGCACACCGCCAGACTTTGTCGTGTGTCTTTCCTGCCGGCCGGGAGCGACCCCGACAAGAGGGCTTACCTGACCATTGCTCACTCCCTCTCCACTGCTGCTCTGCCTTCCTAGAGAGGGAGAAAACTCCTCGCTGAGCGTGGGCATGGCCATTTGTCTTATTTATAGACATGATTTATGCCATCTCTGAACAACATTTTAATTGGCACTCACATCGGTTGTGTGTGCGCGTCAGAACTGTTCCAGAAGCACAAGCACGCCTGAGAGGGGGACGAAGTGAGATGAGCCCTCCAACAGTCCGCGGGACAAGCCTGCAGCCGAGGGAGTCACGGGGCAGAACACTGAAGGAAGGAGCTATCGGGAGGGCACTTGGGAACTGAGCCACAGCTAGCAGCGCACAGCACAACGCTTCACAAAGGGCCCAAGAATCACCAGGGAGGTGTGAAGTCCAAAGTGCCAAGTTTACACAGGAGGTCAGTGCAGAGCTGAGCCCTGCAGGGCTCCTCATGGCCGGGACAGCGCAGTGCAGACCCTGCCTCAGCGGCAGGGCTCGCCCAGAGCAGCATCAGCTATGCACCTGGCCTAGTAGTGTGACTCTGAAGCAGGCATCCTGAGCCCATGCTCATCTGGACGTGTAACTGCCCACAAAAATCAAGTCAACATTCTTACAGAAAACAAACAGAAACAGAAGCAGAGACTGAACACTTAACAATTACCAGACTCGGCCAAACACAGAGTTTGGAATATTTGAGCCTACTGAAAAAATCTATGCCATTTATTTACTGTAGAAAGTTCACTTATCTCACAAAGTTTTCAAATTTTTCAAGTGACCTTTACAAAACTAATAAGTTAAATATATAAATTTAGTAACAAGTTTTTAAAAATATTCAAATAATTATATGCAAATTTGGTTAAGATCTCTCTTTAATGATCACAAGAAAAATCAATTATAAATTTAAAAAAGGAATTAAATATGGGTAAGTTACAAGTATATAAGTATTCACTGCCTCTTTAGCATAAAGCTATTAATTTCATGCGTTTGATTTGCAAATATTTTTATACTTAATTCTAAATCTCCCTATGATTCAAAGTTATATACACTTTATTTGAACAATTATATCTTCTCAAAGCATGTTTTGGTGATACTATTTTAGCTGACCAAAGTTTTACTATCAAGATTTTAGCCCAGATAGTCCTGGGATTCTTCCTGATAACTCTATTATATCCTGTGTTTAGTAAGGACATTATAAATTAAAGATAGCATTGATCGCATGGTCCTTATAGCCTGGTCATAAAGTTAAATGTCACATTTTTCTGTTATATCATGGAATTCTGTAAACCTTGCTCCAACTCTTATTTTTGATTGAATCTCTTAGATTCCTAAAATGTTTGTAACCAGGGTGTTGCTATATAGTTCAGGCTGGTCCTCAATTCACTATCTATCCCCGGCTGGCCTCAAGTTCACGGTAATACTTTTGCCTCAGCTCTCAAGTGCTGGAAATTACAGGCATGTGCTACCGTGCCTGACTAGATTCTTAAAGTACCTGACACTCTTCCACCTATGATTAAAGGTATTTGGCATAGAAACTGAAAAATTTCACCTTTTCCCATCAGATAGAAATAATCATTTATTACGATACTAACAATAATATATAAACATATCTTGTATTCATGCCTGTCTGGATTTGCCATCACATTCAAAATTAAACTGACAAAAACTGTTTTTACATTTTCTTCCATTTAAAGAAATATGACTAATGTTACATTTAGTGTCACTTTTGCCATCATGTTTTACAAGATGAAAAAATGTTTATTGAATGGATTCCCAGGTCTCGTAAACCATTAGATAATGGGAAGTAACATCTCGAACAAGCATTCCTACTTCCTAGAATAATTAGTTTCAATAATCTCTCTGTTGGACAACAGAAAACTGTAAGCACTGAACCACCAAACACAAAGGAAAAGAAATGTCCTGCCCATTCAGTTTGCCTCAGGATTTCATGCTCAGGTG